ACAGGCAGGTGGTTGTTTTAAAAAAAAAAACCTTTTTTAAAAAAAAAAAAAAAAAAAAAAAAAAAAAAAAAGGAACCAGTATCATCATCGAGATACATAGACAAAATAAACTCAGCTACACTATATTTTCCTTCTGTGGTCAGAAATAACAGCACAAATTTGTTCTTGCAATCTCTCAATTTCCCTACTCCTTCCCCACTCCCAGGCATTCTTTCTTTACATTTTCTCTTTTAGGCTCAGTTACTCTGCTGTAACTTAAGAGGACTAGCTTCATACCAGTGTAGCTGATAATATCTGAACCCCAAGGAAGAAAAGTTCCTTTTGCTGTAGGATCTATTCAGTGGCAGAAGAAACCATGCCATGAAGTGGAGAGAAGGGAAATTCATCCTCTCCAGTATCCACCAAAAATGTTTCAGAACATTACTCCTGAACTGTAAATGGAAGTTTCTTGTCCCAACTGCCTGTTCCCAAATACCTGGCAGCCACTTCCTAAATTTCCACACAGGGGCTTAATATAAATTATAAATGTTTGGTCAACAGCTCAGGCTTATTACTAACTAGTGCTTATATTTTAAGTTAACCCATATTTCTTATTTATGCTCTGCCACGTGGTGATACCTTTATTAGCATGGCACAGTCATCTCCTGCTCCCTCTGCTTCTGGCTAGTGACTACTGACTCCACCCTTCTCATCATCCTTAGTTCGGTTACCCCACCTATACTTCCTGTCTGGCTACTGGCCAATCAACATTATACCAAACCAATTCGAGTGACAAATCTTTACAGTGTATCAGAGGATTATCCCATAGCACTGAACTAAAAAGTTAAAGTGAACAGCTGAGGAAACAAAAACGCTGAGCTACTATTTTTATGTATTACTTTTGTCATTCTTTGATACTACTTATAAGACCAGGTGAGGGTTAGCACACGCAGGTCAATAGTATAAGGTCACAAATACTGAACAGATAGATTTCAGAGAAATACTAGAAAACATGCAAGTGAAAATACTTCCCCTCATTAATGCCTATATCAAATAAGTATTATTTAAATCTTTATATAATTTCATCCCAAATTAACATTACTGTAACTATATATTGCTACTGTAAAAACAAAATCTCAAAACTTGTATAAGTAAACTTATTTCACTGAAATATCAAGTTAATCTCATAAAACACTATCTTCCAAGAACCTGCTATCAGGGATTCGACCCAAATTTGAGTTATTAATTTACTGAAAATTGTATGTAAGAAATCCATTGCTTCATTTTTCTTAACAAGGAAAAACAATACCATGGTCATTTTTGAGTTAAACTACATTCAATTATGTTTACTTTTGTGAGCGGTGAGTCTGATAAATTTGATAAATGTTTTAGCCACATGATCGCCCAACTTAAGGTACTTATTTAAAAAAATTTCAGCTATATGTTTTTCCCTCCTCTTCCCCACCCCCAGACACTACCAATTATATTCTCTCCATATACTCAAATAAAACCTATTGTGAAAATTTAGAGTTTCTTGATTGATCAACAAAGCTTTATATAAACTCCCAAAATAATCAAATGTCTTTCATTTCACATGCACAGGGGCATGCTAATAAGTTAACATGAGAAAGGTTGCCCTTTAATTCAATTCCCTAC